AGCCCAGTTTGATTTAGACACATAGGTTGAGGACTTCTGTGTCCCACCCAGCAGGAGGCTGGGTGGCTGAATTGGGGAAATGACCCCACAGTGGTGCTAGGGTGGTGGATGGTATTTTCACCAACAAATTAAGTGTTGACGTGCACCAAACAGAGAGAAAAAAGAAAAAAAGAAATGGCAGTGTTCCGTGTCCTGCATAAACTGCTTTGCACACACCTGCAGCTGGGGAGGAATGGGGAAAAGCCATTAGGGCCAAGGGCACGCACCTCGGTCGCAGGCTCCGTCCTTCACGCCAACTTTGCGTGTGTAGTAGACAGCCAGTCGATGTGTCTCTCTCACACTGATGTTTCTCTCTCTCTCCCCCCTCTCTCTGAAAAGCAATTCTACCCCCCTCATGAGCTGTTAGGAGGATTCAGCAAGATGACCTCAGCAGAGAACAGAAGCCCCAGTGAGCACTCTGTCCCAGCTGTGTGGCTTTCCCATCACAGACATTCCCTTCACCTGGGGAGCTGTGCAATGGGGCAGCCCTGCGGCCCCGCCCTTGAGACCTGTCTGGGGACCAAGTATATAATAAACACACTACAAAGTCTCAAGAAGTCTGTAATCAGCTCCTGGAAGAGGGAGATCAGGGTAGGACAGTTGACCTCTGTGTAGTTCCACTCTTTTTAGCAACAGCTGAAACCAAAGCTGAAAGGCATCAGATGACCTTTCTGTGTTAACACAGGCCAGAGCTCAGGGAAGAGAGAATCATCTGAGAGGCCAGTCTGACCAATGAAACACAGGGCAACTGGCAAAGGTTGCAAACCAATTCCCTGACTTTTAAACCAAATGATAAGCGAGAACAGGATTCTTAGAAGTCTTGCCCTGTCTGCTTCAAATAAAGGCAGGGTGACGTCCCAGCCCAAAATTCAAAAGGCACCTCCGAGACTGTCCCTGCTCTCAGAGTACTGGCCTGGGAGGGGAGCCAGGGTGCAGCGTCTGGGAAGTAGGCAGGTCTACCTTGGCCTGGCAGGTGCCAGGGGGATGGGGGTAAAAGAGACGCAGCTCTTCCCAGGGCAGAAATGACAGCAGCTGTCATTTACGCAACACTCTGTGCTGGGCACTGTGACAGAGGCTTCACGTAATGTAGCACATTAAATTGACACCAAATGCTAGAAGGTTGGTTCTGTTGTTACACTGCTCTATCAGTGAGGAAACTGAGGCTCAGAAGGGGTTTGAGGTCCAAGAGCTGGTTAAGAGCAGCAGCTGGGATTCAAACCTAGGTCCTGCCAACTCCAAGCCTGCATGCTCAACCACCTTGCCTCATGACCCTCACATGTCACTGGCTCCTTACAGCCTCTTGGGAGCCAGAAGGACTATGATTATCCCTGTCCCTATTTTTGTCACAAGGACCCTGAAGCTCAGGAGGCCCAAAGCCACACCATAGAAAAGATTGGGACTTGTGCCCATGTCTGCAGACCAGGACATACAGCACTGGGACCACTCCTCATAAGGATGGTTCTTCCAGATGGTTCCTGAGAGGGCCTGGCCCAGTCCCTGCCTGATGCCCTGATGAATCACCCAGTGGCTGGTGGAAACCTGTAGGGGACAACTGAGGCCCTGCAAGTCGCCACCTTACCGTCGTCCTGCTCCGTCTGTTCCTGCTCGGTGCTGGAGTACGTGCGCAGGAACTCAGCGAAGGCCCCATCCCGGGCCAGTAGCTCCTGGTAGGAGCCCATCTCAGAGATCTTGCCGCCACTCATGACGATGATGACATCCACCTGCGGCAGGTAGCTGATGCCATGCGTGACCAGGAGCCGAGTCTGTGGGCAAAGCGGAGACCGGGCGCATTAGCACACATGTGAGAGAGGCAATCACCCCACACCTAGGTGGCAGGGCTCCTATCTGAAGGTGGATGCACACCTGGGACAACCTTTGGGTGCTTTCATTCAACACATGTGCCAGGACCTGGGGGAGGGGGTGGCAGTAACAGGGAAGAACTCGANTCATTCAACACATGTGCCAGGACCTGGGGGAGGGGGTGGCAGTAACAGGGAAGAATTCGAGAATCCCTGTCCCCGATTCCAGGGTCAGGGGAGAAACGAACGATGTGGGTAAAACGCCATGTGCTGGACGGTGACACAGCACAGAGGGGGCAGGGCACTGAGGGTGGGGTAAGTGTTGCAATTTTAACAAAGGTGATGGGAAAGGGTATTTTTGAACAAAAATCTGAAGGACAGAAGGGAGGGAGGGAACCTGGCACATGTGGACAAATAAGGACTCTGCAAAATAATTTGCTGGCAATGGCTTCATTTTTTAAGTAACCACCCACTCCCACACTTCCCACAAGCTTCAAAATTTGTAGATATGTCCTTTATCTAATGATCTGAATGTTTGGGAAGATACTCATCAAGCTATTTACGTGAGTTGACAAACTTTTTCTTAAAGGGCCAGATGGTAAACATTTTCAGCTCTACAGACCGTCGGGTCACTGTGGGAACCACCAGCCCTGTGGTTGTGGCGTGATGGCAGCCATACACAAGGCATAAACAGAGGGCTGGCTGTGTCCCCATACAGCTTTATTTATGGACACTGGTGTTTAAATTCAATGCCATTTCATATGTCATAAATTATTATTTTTCTTCAGATGTTTTCCAACCACTTAAAAATGTAAAGACCATTCTTAGCTTGAGGACCAGACTTAAACAGAGCAGGCCCGGTTCCTGGCCCCTGCCCTCAGGAGAGGAGCTGGGTGCAGAAGGGAGGACCATTTTCTAAAATTTTACACATACTCTTTATAGTCTGACTTTGTTACCATGGGCACGTAGGAATTTGGTAACAATTTTTTTAATATTTAAAAATTAAGTCTATACAGACTTTGTTGTGGTGTGTACGGGACTGCTTCAATAGGCTGAGTGGCACAATGCTCACTATATATGCGCACAACGTGATAACACTATCAAAAGAGTTTATACGCACAGCAAAAAGACTCGAAAGAAACACGGAAATCTCTAAGTGGTGAGATGATGCCACTAGCTTTTGTTGTTCTTTTTCATGTTTTTCTGAATCTCCTATATTTTTCCCATGAGCATGTTACTTTTTTAATCAGAAAGAGAGAAAAAAAGAAAAGGAGAGGAGAGGAAAGGAGGGCAAAGAAGAANGAGCATGTTACTTTTTTAATCAGAAAGAGAGAAAAAAAGAAAAGGAGAGGAGAGGAAAGGAGAGCAAAGAAGAAAGGAAAGAGGACAGAGGACAGAGGACAGAGGACAGAGGACAGAGGACAGAGGACAGAGGAAAGAGGAAAGAGGAAAGAGGAAAGAGGAAAGAGGAAAGGAAAGGAATGGAAAGGGGAAAGGGAGAAGGGAGGGGGAGAAGGGAGGAATCAGTACTCTCACCCCATAATTCCTCTACAGAATAAAATAAAATAATTAAATTAAAAATTAAATTAAATTTAAAAATTAAAGAAATAAAATAAAATTATAAAATAAAATATAAAATAATGAAAGAAGACAGGAACTATTTCCTGTCGGGTCAAAACCGCCACGGTTTTCTTGCTCCAAGCCTCTGTCCCTTGGCCCATGGTCACTTCAGAAAAGAAGGGACAGCTGCCTGCTCGGTCACAGGGAATCTTTGTGGGATTTCTTTCTATGAAGCCACCATTATTGTTAAACCAGGAAGAGGGGCCTTTTTTGGCCAAGCGGAGGCAATGACCTCAAGTCAGTGCCAAGGACTTCCCCCCATAATGACAAGAGCAAGAAGGCCGTCCTGGGAAGGCTTCCAAGGGAAGCATTAGAAAAGTGTTCTTAAGTTCAATTAAAAAAACAAAAAAAAAAGCCTGGGAAGTGAAAGGTTACCAAAGGGGCACATTCTGACTTAACCAAAGCGTGAAAGAACCAGACCTTGAGCCCTGCCCCTCTTCAGGTACCTTGTTCTTCAGCATCCCCTTGGGGCCGATCACATTTTCAAATATGTGTTTTCCCACGTGGGAATCCACTGCCGATAGGGGGTCGTCGAAGAAGTAGATGTCGGAGTCACAGTACACAGCCCGGGCCAGGCTTACGCGCTGCTTCTGGCCCCCTGACAGGTTCACGCCCTGGGGAGACACATGGCAGAAGGTGGGTTTGCTGGGAAACCTCAAGACACACAGAGAAGGCAAGCTGCTTGGGATGCAGCAGACCCAGGCTGGAGACCCCACAGGGCTGCACCCTCTCCCTCCTGTGCAGCAATAGAGGTATGAGATTGCACCTGCATGGTTGTGGGTTCAAGTGCTAGCATGGGATTTAGCCTCACTTGTAAAACAGGTGGAAGAGAAAACCTGAGCCTCCAAGGAGCTGCTGAGTGAAGACCCAGGACAGAGTGGGAGTTTAGCAAAGGATGGCCAGTGACACTGAATAATGTTGGCTACAGAAAGGCTCCTGGTCTCTGAGTCAGATGGAAAGCACCAGAGGATGTGGCAATATCATTACTGCTGTTACTATTATTATTGTTAACAGCTAACATTTTTTTTCTAATTTACTCCGGATCTAGCACTCACTGGTGAAGCCACATACAATCCAGGCAGACTATACCCTGGGGACACTGGGATCTAGCTCCACTCACTAGCAGGAAGGACACAAGGGCACCACATGGACCAAAGCAGCAGCCCTGGCCCTTCCATGCCAGATAACCCACTGTCTGGCTGAGGAATCAAAGTGCATACCCACTGGGTTAACTGCCCAGCGTCTCCTGAGAGATGCCCATCACCCCCTTGCAACAAGGTGGTGTCCTGGCAACCAGGTTTTTTCTGCATGGTCCCTCTGGCGACAGGTTTTTGGCCCAGGGGAAGATACCAGACTTGAGCTAAGCCAATCATATTCTCTTTCTCCAGATTTTGGTGCTGGGACCCAGACAAGGAGAGAGGAGTCACCAAGTGGCAGAAACACACACTTTTTTCAAAAAAGAAAGAAAAGAAAGAAAGAAAAAAAGCTGATCTGCAGATTTCCCTCAAATAAATCATTCATCAGAAAGCTGGAAGAACCACAGGCTTGTAACTAAAAGCAGACAGGAAAGCTATTTGGTGCTGCCGTGGAACATTTGCATTTGCCAAGTGGACACCAGGTGACCACCAGGGGGCAGTAAAACAAGCTGGCCAGGCAGAAAAGAGTGTGCAAAGGCCCGGAGGTGGGAAGGGGCTCAGGCAAGTCACTTAGCCCCTCCCTACCTCCTTTTATCAACCACTACACGGGGAAACGGTAAGTCCCATCTAATGGGCGTGCTGTGAAGACAAAATATGGACAGTGCCTGGTACATAATAAATCCTCAAAAGTGTTATTTTATTATCATCACTGTTCTGAAAGAGACTGTGGACGTTTGAATCACTGACACCCCTCCTCCCTGTATAGTGCCCTGTGTCATGGGACTTTGCAGACTACAAAGGTAGAGTGCACTTTCTGGTCCCTTGTTTTTGGGCTCAACCAAGTGATCCATCCATTTTGTGATGGAAAAAACAGTGTGCTTTACGGGACATCGTATTAATTTTTGTTCTCTTGGGCTTCTGCTGTCACCATAAGAGCTTTCCCCTGGGGAGCTGCTGCCCCTCAGCCTAGGCCCCAGCACAAAGCCATGTGGGGCAGAGTTGGGCCAAACCCACAGCCTGGAGCCAAGCTCCGCTGGCTTGCAACATGGAGCAGTCGCCCAGCTGAGCCCAGCCTGGGTCAGCCAATCAGTCGATTCACACGCCCACAAATAAGGGAATAAGTGTCCAACATCATAAACCACTGAGATTTATTTTCTGATTATTACACGGCTATAGCTGACTGTTACAGGCGACATGCTGAAGACATACTGACCTTCTCACCAATCTCTGTCCGGTCCCCGCTGGGCAGAATTTCCAGATCTGGGAGGAGGGCACAGCCTTCTATCACAGCCTTATAAAACTGTTCCTGTAGCTGGCGTCCAAAAAGGATGTTTTCTCGGAGAGAATCATTCTGAATCCATGCCTGCTGGGGGACATAGGCCACTGAGCCCTAGATGGCAAGTGGAGAAGAAAGCAAGAGACAGGGAGACAGATTAGATTAACAAAATAGCATCCAGCTCAACCATGTGCCAGAAAGGCCCTACTTCACAAATGACTTTTCATCACACCCATTGTTTCAACAGGAGGGAAACTGGGTCACAAAGGACAATGGATGCCAGAGCTGAGATCAGAACCCACACTGACCAACATCGGGAGTTCAAGAATTAAAATACACACTGGTGAGATTATAGTTAGATATTTAGTAAACATTCATTGAATGCCTTCATCAGTGAACTAAACTCCTGCCTCCCAAGAATGGGAAATTCCTGACACGATTAAAAAAATTATTTGATTATAGTCAGAGTAAATGCTAAGAGAAAAAAACATGTGAGAGCTTTAAACAGTCCTTTAAAAAGAAAGACCTAGTTAGGAACAACTGGAAAGCATTTCTTGAGGAAACCTCCTTGATGAAATTTAAGCAAGGGGTTCTGTATCAAAATCATCCATTTCAAAAGCTTTTGTGTCTTTATTTCTACATAATGTAAGGTGTCAAGAAGGCCACGAGAAGAGGGGCAGGCACTCCCTTCTGGGGAAAATTAACAAGTCAAAATTAACAAATGAACCTGTAACCTTGTCAAACCAAATACTCAGTGCACCCTCAAATTCCAGATCCATCACTTTTGTACTTAAAGGCCTTTTTCTTTTCTTTTTTTTCCTTTTTTAAAAAAATATATCTTTATTGATTTCGGAGAGAGGAAAGGAGAGGGAGAGAGAGAGATAGAAACATTAATGATGAGAGAGTCATTGATCGGCTGCAGCCCACAACCCGGGCATGTGCCCTGACTGGGAATCGAACCCTGATCGCCTGGATCCTAGGTCGACACTTAACCACTGAGCCACACCCGGCCGGGCAAAGGCCTTTTTCTTTAAAACAGTGGTTCTCAACTTGGGGTACTTTTGCCCTCCAGGGGATACCTGACAATGTCTAGAGACACTTTTGGTTGTCACAACTGGAGGCTGCTACTGGAATCTAGGGGGGTACTGGCCAGGTATCCACCTTACAAAGCACAGGACAGCTCCCACAACAGAGAATTATCCAGCCCAAGATGTCAACAGTGCTATGGTTGAGGAAATTCAGGGTTAATGAAACAGAAGGCAGTGTGGGTCCTACCATGATTTCTAATTTTCTTCCATTAACCCAGCTCATGTTGCCCACTGATCATACTTCATAACATGTACTTGAAATAATGACAGAACACTTCCTAAACAACAGCTAGATGTTATTAGTTTGGACCCAACTACTGTAACGTACACTTTCTACTAATGCATATTAGGCTACAGGACATCATATAATCAACAAAGAAAAGATTTTGCACCAAAATAAAGACAATGGCATAAGCCAGCATCCCCAAAAGCAGATTCTAAGAGACAGTAATTCTGGGGATATAAATAGTTGCTGCATAGACAATAAAGAGGTGCGGGCAAATATGTCTAGGCCATGCTGGATTAACCAAAGTTAAATAGTTTTTTCCCCCCTTGCAGGACTTCTCAGAGACTTTATTAATGTTTATTCTAAGTCTCCTAGAGGGAAGGGATCAGAGTATGCAGAATTTCCCAAAACATCCCGCTGCAGACCCCACTCCAGGTAATGGTGTCAACAAACTTCGAGGGAGGTAGTCCGACATCAGGAAAAGGCCTTCGTGGGAACAAGCAAAATGCAAAACAAGACTCTTGATTTCTAAAGGATTCATTTGTCTACTAAAGCAGCCTCTTAGACTCTCTCTTGAGGCGTATACCAGCTTAGCTCAAAGTACTCTGTGTATTTAAAAGCAATAAAACCACAGTCTGTATTAGCCCTATATTAAGAATTCGACAAGCACACAGAATTTAAACAGCTTCCCTTAAAAAGAATTCTCTAAGATCACATTCCAATGACATTAGTCAAAAATTTTAAGTTTTGTTACTTTTACAAAAAGGGATACACAGAGAGGTCTGTAGAGAGAGAGTAAGCCAGAAAGACTCACGGATAAAGGGGCCACGGGATGCACACTGAGGGGCAGAGATGGGAGGGAATGAGAGACAGTGAGCAGACCAGGGAACATTTGTGTGTTTACTAAATATGCATTGAGTGCCCACTACGTGCAGGGCACTGTTCTATGTGCTGGGATACAGCAGGAAAAAATGACACTTCTCTAGGATGGCACAGAGAAGAGCAGAAAGAATGAGAGAGAAAATGAGAGGAGGCATCACTGCTCTTGCTTCATGCACGGGGACCACAGTGAACGAACACGGCATTGCACGTGACCTTCCTCCCATGCCATCAGCTCCCCAGAGCCCCCGCTCACCCAGTCCTCCTCCTACCTTGAGAGCCACGTGCCCCTCCACCTTGTCCATCTCGGCCAAGAGCGCTGAGAGCAGAGACGACTTTCCACAGCCCACCTGGCCCACCACGGCTACCAAGGATCCTTCTGGAACGGAGAAGGTGATGCTGAAAAGACAGAGCACACAGTGCCTCAGTCGTGCTCTCACCTGAATGAGGCCAGTGGGGCTGCTGCCCCAGCCCCTGGGGCTGGATTTACAGAGTGGAGAGAGAGGCAGAAGGCAGGGCTGTCGCGAACCTCTAAGATCTGGAAATTCCTCCTGCGCTTCTACCGCTGAGCTTAGTTCAGTGAACAGTCTCAGAGGCCTTCCCTGAGTGAGGCACGGGTCTGGTGCTGAGATGCCAGTGCATCTGAGAAAACGGAGACAGCAGGAGAGACCTGAGCGATCGGCTAAAATGCAGAGGGATTCACTTCGCCCAGGGACACAACACAGGTGCCCTGGGGGAGAGGACACCCCAAAACGAGCTCTAAAGGAAGAGTAAGCATGTGTCAGACACAAAAATGTGGAAAAGCTTAAGAAAAGGCCAAGGCTGTGAATAACAGGTGTGATCAGGGATCGGCATGTCAATGACACAAGATGAAGCAGGGAGGGTAGGCGGGTCCTGGTCCTGAAGGTGGGTGGGTGGTGGCCAGGCCTGGGGGACCTGAAGAAGCCACTGAAAGGTTTGAAGGGGGCCTGGACATGGATGAATGTGAGTTTCAGAAACAGGTCTCCACTGAAATTGCCCTTTCACAGATACTGGTAAGCAAAAAAGCAAAGGACAAGAAACTAAGCTCGACGCTCTGCCGGTAAGACTGGCTGTCACACGACATGTGTCAGAGCTGTGATTCCACCCACCAGCGAAGGGTGGCACGTCCAGGGCACTGCTGACCTTACGTACACTGGCTGTGCTTTTCCACGGTTGCTATTATGATTTTCAACATATTAGTGGAAATGCTTGTTAGATTTTGCTGTCACTCACTGTTTAATTCTTGGGAACCTGCTGCACGGTCACAATGATTATTCTTTCGTTCCTGTGCAGTGAGGGGAATGGGTTACGGGGCCCAGTGAAACAGCTCCTGCAATCATCCAGGTGAGACTGAAATATTTTTATAGGCAGAGGAGAAAGGAAGTTTGGATGGAGAAAGATGTGGGGAGTCAAGGTGGTGAGGGAGACTGGAACAGGAAAGCCTTTGGTTCTGGAAGGACAGAGGAAAGAATGAGGGCGCAGGTGTAGATTATTTAGCTGTGGAGTAGAACGAGAGAGAAAAGCTAAAACCGAAGCAGGCAGGAGTAGTGTTAGGCATAAGGAAGAACTTGCTAAGCATGCAATCCCACCGTGAATTTCCAGGGGAGGTGTTATACAGATCCTTTTCTCTGGGGAATTTGTCCCCCATCCCCAGCACCCTCCCGTCATATAAATACAGCAGTAATTGGGCTACCCAGGAAGGGGGTGTTTGTTCAGGGGCATGGGGGGTAAATCTGGCCTCTAAAGAAGCCCCTTCTGGCCTCATGTTTTGGGGATTCCTTACGGAGGCCTAGAAGCCACTGAGCAAGGCCTCTAATCAAAAGTAAATAAGGGGCACTTGATAAGTTGCCTGGGGAACCAGGTCAATTCCCTGGATACGTTGTGCGTTGTGGGCAAAGTACCAGATGGGGAGTAGGTGAGAAAGGGTGAGCCAGGCCGCTGGCGAACCCTGGGAAGGACAGAGAGCAATTCCATCCTGAGAGCAAATCCCACAGGATAAGAATTTCTTTCAACAGACCCAAGCCTGCCAGCATCACAGCCTGGGACCCAACTTGGCCAGTCAGTGTGCTGGGTCTCTCCAGGCACAGTAATTGGCTCAGGGAGGGGCACATGACCCAAACTGGGCCAATCAGAAACAGGGGGTACACCTGGAGTGATGGGGGCCATTTGCCATCACGAGGGGAGAGGCCGTCTGAGAGGGAAGCAGAACGAAGACAAGACAGTGAGAATCCTAATGCGCTGAGTCCCTGGATCACACTGTACCTGAAAGTGGCCCTTCTCAATTATGCGCACCAAAAATCTCCCTTTGTTGCCTAAGCCTATCTGTGCAAGGGTTTCCACTACTTACAATTAAAGGGACCCTCTGTGCCAGGCACACTCTCATCTCCTCAACAAAACCCATGCAGGTGTGACTGCTCCCAGATGAGTAAACTGAGGCTCAGAAAGGCAAAGTGACCTATTCAAGGTCATCAAGCTGAAGCATGCATGGCTGGATTTTGAACCCATGTTTGACCAGAGCCCTGTGCTGCTCTCCACATCCTGGCTTACCCATTCAGTGTGGGGGGTTCACTCCTGGCCCACGTGAAGGTGGCGTTCTGCACAGTGATGCTGTTTGAGCTCCCGCCTGAAAAGCACCAGACATAACAGATAAAGTCACGGGACTGCGAGTGAGCAGGAAGCTCTTAATTTTTTTCCTAATCAAGTGTAGTTCAACCCCAGAGGCTAGACACTTCTGCTAGGCATCTGGTTATATCTGTCTCAGTTTCTAAAAAAGAACCCACCCAGCAGTTTTGGAGGTGGCCTCAGACCAAGAGAGCAAAAGGAAACCGCAAGAGGGCTCCGCCTTGAAAGGCAGGAGGTTGCAGCATCCAGATGCCTATATTGCAGAAGTGGGGGGAGTAACAGGGAACACAGGGCTCCAGGGACCTCCCTCGCCCTGTCTTGGAAGGTTCTGTCCACTGTGGCTGGGAGGGCGGAGCAGAAGCCAAGGTCAATGGCAACAAGGAGCACCCTCCTGAACAGAGGTTCTCTCCACGGGGATGGGCTGGCTCTTGGCACTCACCACACCCCAGGGCCTCTACCTTTAATATTCAAAACAGGACCCACCCTCAACTCTTGGATTACAGGGCTGCTTCCTAAACTCATCTCCCTGGATCCTCCCTCTCTGCCTTCACCACCACCCTGCTCACATCACAGCAGGTCATTCTAAAGCAGCAGCCGTCACAATCCACTGTGGAAAGCAGGCTCTGGAGCAGGAAGTGGGGTATCGCGCCCTGGAGGAGGGGTGTTTAAGACAAAGCCTGCACTATATGCGGGGCTCCTGTGATCCTAGGCTTCTGGCACCTCCCTCCCCTTATTTCCCTTTTACTCCATGTCCCTCACTTAAAAAAAAAAATACAATCTTGACTAATTATGAGCCATCTTCAAACCACCCAGAGATAAGCTGGGGGTGTTTTTCAGGTATCAAATGAAGAAATAAATTCTCCCACACAAAGAGACTAAAACTGGTGCTGAGAGGAAGTTACTGGTTAACCTAACTTAACCTTTTCCCTCACCACCTCCATTCCCCCCCCCCC